GGTCATCTAGACAGACTAGGACTGGAACCCAGGCTGAAGGTCTATGGCAGAGTCACATAGTACATCACACTGATCTTTGTTTACCAAAAGACATCTGTGGAGTTCACAAACTTAGAGGGATAGCAGTGGTGCCTATAGCTCAGGATACCACTGACCTGGCATGTGTTTCTGTATTTAAGGCCATGATGCCAATGATGAAATAATGTTCATACTATTTGAGGGTGGCATTTTTGTAGGATTTCTCTTGTTATCCTCCAAAATGCCAAGTTCACTGTCTCAAACATATGTAGTAAGACACTGCTGAATAAATAAGTGAATGGCAATTCTTTGCCTCAGGGTAGAAGTAGATTCAGCCTTCTATTTTAGAGTATGGTGGGGTCAGAGAGTCCAGAAGATTTAGAGGCATGTGAATTTGAATCACTTCCCAATGAGACTGTATCTAGAGGTTAAGTGAAGCAAGAGGAGAAGTGGTCCATGAGCACATCAAGGGGTTCACCAATAATCTCTTTAATGGACAAAGGAGGCTTTTATTTGTTGTTGTATAGGGTTTTTAAAAAGTACTTTTTCTTAAATTTACAAAGTTAATATTCATGAAGTTTGTTAGAACCCTCATGGGTCAACCGTGGCTAAATAAATATTGAGCACCCTTCCTCTGAGGTATATTTGGGGGAGCCAGATCAGAGACGCAGGCTTTTAAGAACCAGCTCACATCATGCTTTCTTTGGTGTAGTTGTAGTGGGTTATTCATCTGATTCTGGAAATCAGAAAGGGCATGTGGCAAGATCCCACTTGATATTCCAACTTACTGAAGTAAAAGGAAAGGTTCCAAGCGTGTCAATACTCTCTTAGTGGAATCCCCAAGATTCCTCTAATTACACAATTTTCAGAGTCCCATCTATCTAACCCTCTGGACCATTACCATACTACTAATTTGGATCAAGGCAACCCCATGGGAGCCCTCTATTCTTATATCTTACTATCTAAAGTTAGAGTCTTTAAGCCTGATGTTGATCTGTATATAAAAAGTAGTGATGTCTAATAGGAGAATTCAGAGAAATGTTCCAGGCAACATCTTTCATGAGTAAACCGTACCTCTTGCCTTGGATAGCTCATTTTATTTGGTGTTAGCAATCCAGCAGTACAATTTTATGGTGTGTTGAGTCACTGGGAAAAATGGAACACTGAGATGTAACTAGCATGAATTTAGACATCTGAAATCCCTCCAGAGTAGGGCCGGAGTAGCCCACAGCTCAAGTGCACCAATGGCAGTAAATACCATCACCAGCATTACTCGTCAGGCTGTTGTTACCTTAGTGAGTTCCTCTGTAACATGCTGGTGAATCCCCTAACCAGGCTGCAGGCACCAGGTTTTTACTAAGCAATTATCAAAATACTTTCAAGTGATACAAACAACTACATATACCCCACATTTTATAGATTATATGTATTTAAAAAAAAAGAGAGGATTATTTTATTCTACATACTCAATATCTGTTCTTTAGACAGAAATGGTAATAGCATTAATCATAATTAATGGCGACCCTGAAATTCCTTTTTCTGATTCCTTTTTATAAAGGGCGTTTCTGAACCATGATTTAGTCTTCTGAATGGGTAGGGAACAGGAGTACCTTGAGCAAAGTCACTGCTCTAAGTACTCGAAGCAGTTATGTGCCTTATAATCAATAAACTTACAAATTCATACCACTTTTAGTTTGAAATCTTGTGAATTTCGTTAATAGTAGTTTTCATTCAGCAACTATTTATTGAGTATCTGTTCTGTGGCAGGCACTAGCTAGCGACTGGGGATGGCAGTAGTGAAAAAGGCAGACAAAGTCCTTTAATTACAGTCTGATGATTATCACGGGCCTGATTAACCCTGACTCAGTTGATACAATCTAATTCCTGAGCCTGTTAAACTGTAGGGTATATTGTGGGTTGAAGAGTCACTCAGTGAAGTCTTATCTGAAATAGCCAGGCAGTTCTTCCCTTAATTATAACTCTTGGATCTGAGAAAAGAGAAGGGAAGGAGGGAGGGAGGGAGAGAGGAAAGGCAGAAGAATTATCAGCTGAGGTGCTGATGCCACTCAAAGCCCTGGAGAAGTGGCTGAAGGCTGAAGGTGGACCCACAGCACCAAAGCTGTTAAGTCACAGTCATTACCTATTCCTCTCAAATCCCCCCAAAGCTAAAATAATCCCTAAAGAGGAAAGAAGCAAGAAGACGACTACATGAAAAGTTCTCTATAATGGATTTATAGAGCCAATTTTGGGAAGCGTGTCTAGTAAATTCTTCATTGTAGGAGTCTCTCACAACTATTTTATCACCCATATAGGTAACACATTATGATGGGGGAAGAAATTAAACAATACCAGCCAGAACCCAGGAAGGAAGAAAAAGTTACAACTTAGCTCTGTGCTAAATACCTTTTTGTATCTCACTCAGTAAGGAGACAGACTAAAACAGAAGCACTAGTTCTAAAGCTTTATGTGTCTACTTGTTTAAAATGTTGAATTATATAAAGCTATTGAGCTTTCAAATTTGAGCCTCAGCACTGAGCCTTGGGTGGGTCCAGTTTAACCTGTGATGTAAACAGAGGATATTTAAACCTATATCCACAGAGCAGTATGTCTTACCTATATCATGAGGAAAAAACAATTTGTACCAATTTGTGCCATGGACGGTCCTAAGAGAGTACGAAGACAAGGTCATGAACTCAGGACCACGGCCATGGAGAACTTCTAAGACATACACACAAGTGGTTCGTTAGGGGCAAGCTTCAGCAGTCTGGGTCTAGCCTCTTACTTTGCTGACTTCAAGGGCATGATGATCTCACACAGACGCAAAGGTCACTGAAGCGAACAGGTTATTTAAGTCCCTGTCTGCTCAAGGTCAGCTTTAAAGCAACCTGAGAAATAACATACCAGCAGTGGCAATTTCTCGTTCTTGGATTACATGGCAATCCATAATGTTTTTTAAGAATGAAATGTCTATTGGAAGCTCTACTGCTATCATTAAAATAGATACTCATAAAGCCCGCCCTCTTCGGAAAGAGAGTTCTCAGGTAAGGTGTAGGGTTCTTCACTCTGAGCCGGCACATTCCCAGAGGGAGGAGATGCTAGTCTGGGCAGATTGTTGGAGTAAGTTCCCAGCAAGTGGTTTTAGCTGCAACGTGCATCTTTGGGGTACAGAGGAGAGAAGAGAAGGAAGGGAACAGTGGCTGTCGGCAGCTACAGGTGAGGTGATGCCCTGGAGCACCACGAAGGAGAGGAAACTGTCAAGGAAACAGCGGGGGAACGGAGAAGGAAGGAGAGATGTTCTCTTTCCTTCCCTCAACACAAGCGCACCCATCCTCCTATTTGTGGTCGGCGTTACCAGCATCCGCGTCTCTGTGGCTTCTAAGCAAACTGGAGGATTATCCGTCTATGCCCCCCTTGAAGTCAAGTGTGGTCATATGACTTGCTTTGGGCAATGAAATGGAGGGAAAGAGAAGTATGAGTGTCACTTCCTGGGAGAAACATTTAATGACTGGGCTTGACTTTCCATGCTGTCTTCTCCTGCTTTGCCCATATGAACACACCTACTGAGGAAGTGCCATAAGATCAAAGCAATAAACTACGTGTCAATGAGGAAAAAAATAAACAAACAAACAAAGCAAAAACAACACTAAACAAACTTTTGTTACAGTAAAGCCACTGAGATTTCTGGGTTGATCACCTATCTTAATCCCATAATCTATCTGCTTTCCTTCTGACAGTCTGTCTCTCCCTTGCTCCTTTCTTGCCTCTTCCCCCATTTGATCTTTTCCTTCCTTTCTTTTCCTCTTCACTCTGTTATTTCATTGCCCTCCTAACTGAAAATAATAAATATACTGTTGGGTATTCCTATTCTTTTTTTTCTTTTTTTTCTAAATATTTATTTATTTTTGAGAGAGAGAGAGGGAGTAAGGGGAGTGGGGGGGGGGGGGGTGGAGACAGAGAATCCAAAGCAGGCTCTGCAGTGACAGCAGTGAGCCCGATGCAGGGCTCGAACTCACGAACTGTGAGATCATGACCTTAGCCGAAGTCAGACGCTTAACTGACTGAGCCACACAGGCGCCCCTGTATATTCCTATTCTTAATCTAAAACATGGATCACTTTGTTTTTTGAAAAAGAAACAAGTAAATTTTTTGAATTAAACATTCATATTTCTCTCTTTTAAAATTAAAGCCCTGAGGTAAGTTAAAAATCAGCTTTAGCTTGTATAAAAAAATGTATGCTTTGAAAACCTTACTATGTTATACAAACATATGGTGTTACTATTGTGGATAGGCCCTCAATTGATTTTCTTGTGTGGGTTAAGGGCTGTCCGGAAAAATAAAAACAAACATAAACCTTCCCTAAACACCATGCAACAGGCATGCAGCTCAAAAACCAGAGCTCCCCCTGGAGCAGACTCTGAACAGGAAATCACTTAGGGCATAACCAGTCACTTAGCTTTCATTGGTAACTTTGTTAAGAAGGCTCCTGGGGCTGGAGCATCCAGAAGCCTGTTCGAGACTAAAGGACATTTGAAGTCATCAGAAAAACTATACATTTCCATGCACAATCATTCATGATGTAGTATTTAGACCTGAGGTCACTCCCACAACCCCGAAAGTTGTTTCAAGCAATTAAAGTCACTCTAGACATGAAGCAGCAGCGAATGCAAAAGCAGGGAAATGCAATCGTAGCCTGGCTAATCATGCATAGTTAAATAAACACAACAGATGTGTACTTTAACAAAAATTCAACAAGCTCTGGTTTCAAGTAAGAACATGCTCTGCTAATGAAGTAAACATGACGTGGACTTTCAGGCCGTTTTACACGACTATGGAGTGAACGGCTGAGGGTTTTACACATAACCAATTCTGTAGAGGTGAACTTGTGCAGGGAGGAGACGAGAAACAATGTAACAGTTCTCTGAGGAAAAGAAGAACATGCAAAAGGAGCAAGAATCAGGTGGAGAATTCCCAAGTTCACTTACTGCCTGCTTTTGCTCTTCCTCCTAGAGGTGTTGAAGATGGAAAAAAAGGCAGAGGGAAAAAGGAGAGAGGTTAATGGCCATCACCACAAAACATATGGAAGAAATGATGGAAGAATCAGGCAAACCAGGCTAGGTGCACGGGTTCAGAGACCAAAGGCCCAGACGGTCATCAGGCACCATCAGCTGCACAGAGCGAATGGCAGGCCTCTGTCCCACCCAGTTCATTCAGGGCTAGCCTCTAGAACTGGGAAACCATCTAATCCAACTTCCTCATTTATGGACAGAAAAGGCCTAGAGAGCCTGACTCGCCCGAGCTCACATAGCTGTTTAGGGTAGACTGAAAGAAATAGCTCAACTAGGACACAGAAGCCCAATAATCAATCTCCCCATTCCTAATATTCCTATGTGTTAGCTACCTTCCTCTAGGCCAATGGTTCGCAAAGCAGCAGCACCTGGAAACTCGTCAGAGATGCAAAGTTTGGGCGCCTGCCAAGACTACCTGAATCCAAACTCTTGGGGTGGGTGGGGCACAGCAACGTGTTTCAGAGCCTTTCAGCTGATTCTGATGCCTGCTGGTTTGAGAGCCACTGCCCTAAAAACTTCCCCCAAACTAGCAATTTCACCTGACCAGACTCTCTTCCTTAGTCCCCTCCTCTCCACTTGCTTTGGGGCTGCTTTTTTGTGGTTTTGTCCCAAGGATGCGCTTACATCCCATCCCCATTCCTCCAACAAACTGGAAGCTGCTTCAGGGCCCTGAGAGGCTTTTCAAAAAGAACTCTCGACCTCGCTTTTCCACTAATTCAACACAGGTTCATTTAGTACTTCTTATGCATAAGTCCCTGGAAACCTGAAGATAAGATGTGGTCTCTGTCTTTTAGAGCCTCACAGTGACGGCGGGCAGAGTGGGTACTTGCCAACTCTCAGCTATCACAATGCACCACTGGGCGCCGCGGGAAGAAGCACAGCAAAGACAAGAGAAACACTTCTGAGTCTGTCTCTCCGTGGTCCTTTGCTCTTCAGCTACTCTGTCTTTTAATGGGCCTTTTTGCTTCTTCTTTCTCTGCCTCATCATGAGTAACTGTGGTCAGGGAGCCTCTGCTCTTTGCCCAGGGTGTGCAAATCTAAAAGCTGCTGTGATGGTTCTATTTAAATCGGATCCAGCCGTGCAGGCAGTCTTTACTGAACATGTGTGTAGGAAGTCTTAGGGACGGACGGGTGCTTCTGCTTTTACAGGGTCTGCAGATCTGGGGCCAATGGTAAGAATGGTTTCAGAAAATCCAACCAGTTACAAAAAGGAGAGAGGAAGTAAAAAAAAATGGAAAAAAATAATTTTATTCCTGCAAGGAAGAGACATGGACTAGAAATTAAACAGGCACCAAGAACTCTCTTCCGGAGACTCCAACTGAGCACAAGAAGATGTTCTTCATAATCAGAGCCAGCTGCTAGATGCCTGACCAAACCTATACTCACAGGAGCCCAGGCAAAGAGGGCCCTGAGCGTTAGCTCAGTAAGCCTTAAGAAGTTAGCATCTTAGGGTGCCTGGCTCAGTTGGTAAAGCATGCAACTCCTGATCTTGAGGTCGTGAGTTCGAGCCCCACCTTGGGTGCAGGGATTACTTTAAAAAAAGAAAAAAAAGAAAAAGAAGTTAGCATCTTTCAGTTTTTACATCTGGCACGTGGCTCTGGTCAGAAGGGCTTAGAATTCCGTAGCTGGGAAGAGCTTTCCCTTCCTAGCCAGGCTTCCCTGTAAGGCAGAATACTTTTCTCCATTCACTCGGCAGGGCAAAGAGCCATAGGAAGAGTTATTAAACCATTTAAAATGTGTGTTTATTGCTGGCACTAAGTGTTGAAATGGACACTGAGATGGTGGGGGAGGGATGAGGCAATGCTGACAGGCTGAAATTGCAGCTGAGGTCAGAAGACAAGGACAAAAGTTCTCAGGACTGTTTCTAAGACACCTCCCTATTTTTACTGTTTTCTCCAGGCAAGGTAACAGTGCTTTGGCTCAACAGAATAGGGAAATTTCAGGAAGCAATGTTTCCCGTTTGCACATTTGGGAACTCTGCTATGGATAGTTTGTCCCAGGACATGACATCATGATAATCTGCAGGAGACACATGTCAGGTTAGGACGGGAATGGTGGACAGGGCAGCCTTTTCAGGAGGTAGGGGCCTCTGCTGTGCACTGGGGTTGGCAGAGGGTGGGCTTTGACAACGTGTTACTGAGGATGGTGTTTTACAATTTAAACTCACAGAAGTTACTCAGATAAAGCCTTGAAGGCTCTGTCAACACACTTAACAGGTCAGATACGAGGTCTTAGATATAAGGTTTTTGTTTTCAGTCAGTCAGTCGTGTCAGTATACACTGACTGATGGCAACTGGCACAGGAGCCAAGGTTGATTTAAAGGGAATAATAATAGTTTAACCACAAATCCAAAAGTGCTTATGTCACCTAAACACATGTGAGACTTTTCCACATGGGGGATGTCTGGCTAGGTGGCCAAAGTAACACCGAAGCTACTGCAGTTATCTACATGATAATTTATATTTTAAACCTCATTTGCAAATGAGGTTGAAATCCAAAACTGCAGAATTCACCTGGTGACTCTGTTTCAAAAGCAATATTAGGAAAATGAAAAATGAGGCAGAAAAATACTGGGGACATGATTTAGAAAGTAAAATACCAACATACAACCACTCCCAGCTTAAATAAGTTTGGGACAGAGGTTATCCATACACATTAATCGGGGGGGGGGGGGGGGGAAATGTAAGGAAAAGATACCTTCTGACCATGGGTACCTGGGTGTCGGTCTGCCTCATGCCACCAAAAAACCAAAAATACAATTAAGAAGGTCCCTGAGGGGTGTCTGGGTGGTTCAGTCAGTTAAGTGTCTGACTTTGGCTCAGGTCATGATCTCACAGTTCGTGAGTTCGAGCCCTGCGTTGGGCTCTGTGCTGACAGCTCAGAGCCTGGAGCTTGCTTCAGATTCTGTCTCTCTCTCTCCCTCTCTCTCTCTGCCTTTCCCCTGCTCGTACTCTGTCTCTCTCTCTCAAAAATAAATAAACTTAAAAAAAAAAAAAAAAGAAAGAAAGAAGGTCCCTGGAACTCCTTGGTCTTACTGCCAAATACGTAAATGTGACAGTTAGGAACCAATATTTTCTTGTTAAATAAATGCCTGATTAATTTTTACCCTGCCTTCTTACAAAAAAGGACTTAAGATTATTATTGAATAAATTAATAAACAATGGGAACACTTCATATACATCCTTCTTTAAATTATCATTTTTCAGATAAATAGATAATGTACATAATATTTCACTGAAGCAGTAGAAAGAACTCCCTGTGAAATGGAAATTTACTGTGCAGTGTATTTTAATTTATGAGTATCCCAGACCATGTGGTTTCATTGTCCATTTGACTAAGTGCTTACAGCTGTTTTATGAGAGAATTAAATGCTAGCAGATTGAACATCAACGAGGGCAGGACAGTCCTTTGAAATTAAAATTAGGATTCTAAAGCGTATTTTTATTATCGGTTAGTGAATATATTTTCTTAATAGTAGGAAAACATCTTTGAAATTTTCATGGAAGTCAATGATTCCTACGGGTGACCTTCTAGGAGTGCATACAATACACAAATTAGGATTGTGCTGTCATCTTTTTAGGAAGCTGGACATTAGAGAGGCATGAAATTTTCAACTGTAAATTCTAATCAATGGGTAAAAAGACAACATTCCTGCTCTGTGTTGCAAATTCTTCCTCCCAGTATGAATGGCCTCAGCCTATCAGGTAAGTAAATTATAAGGCATTTAAGAAGCCGGCAGGGGATTTTACAAAATGGGGCACAAGGATCCTGCTTATTTTACGAAATTATAACTGTAAGACAGTAGCTAGAAATACAAAGAAGCTCAGCGTTTGGGATCAGAGTTCCAGGCCTCAGCTCATTCTGCCCAGCCCTTGAATACAAACATCAGAAGTGAACCAGGTCACAATAATATTCACAGGGCTCTGAACCAGGAACTCTAACGGAGACTGAGGGCGGCGCAGCTAACGAGAAAGCACACCGTGGGACTTTGGGGGAAATGCATTCTGACTTCCCTTCAGTTTGCATAAACCTTTTGCCTTTTACAAAAATTACCCTAGGGTATCTTCCCACCTATGTTTGGGCAATGTCTGAAAGCAACTTACTACAAGCAAGTCTGACACAGGCCAGGGATGAGTGGATCCCCTATTATCTCCCGTCTTGCAGGGGACTACCCCACAATGGCAGGACTTTCAAAGCCCCACATGGCTCCAAATGCTATACCGGCCAAATGCATTTAAGTCCCTCTCTGCCATCTTGAGTGGGTGATTGGGTTGGATTAGCTGGATACTTGACAACTATTAGAGGGATCTGGGCCAGGTTTTCTTTAAACAAGACCCATTTAGACACGAAATACTTCTCAAGAGAAATTCCGTTAACAGGGTTAACGTAGAAACACGTCCATGCAAAACAACCCAAATACCCAGGACCAAAGCTAGAAAAAGAGATTCAGCTTAAGACTAAAAGAAGCGATTGTCTTGAGCAAGTCAAAAGTCAGTTGTTTTTTTTTTTTTAATGTTTATTTATTTTTGAGACAGAGCATGAGCAGGGAAGGGGCAGAGAGAGAGGGAGACACAGAATGTGAAGCAGGCTCCAGGCTCTGAGCTGTCAGCACAGAGCCTGATGCAGGGCTCAAACTCACAAACTAGTGAGATCATGACCTGAGCCGAAGTCGGACGCTTAACCGACTGAGCCACCCAGGCGCCCCAAAAGTCAGTTTAAAACACAAACGCTACATTTACCCAAGTTGCTAATACCACTTGCTTCACTATGAAGGGACTCGTTTAGCATAGAGAAGTTGAAGAAGTCTCCAAGCTGATGTTTCCTTGAGCCGCACTGCTAGTCTGGACCCCTGTCACTCACACTCACAGATTGTGATGCAGCACAATCACTGGGCTAGACAGTTATATTTATCTCCATTTCTCCTTTCGTTTCTTCCCTCTCTGATCCGCTCTACATATTTTCCCAAACTATTATTTCCCAAACCGTCAGTGACTCTCTTACCACAGGATTCAATCTACTCCCCTCAGCCTGGCTTTTGAGGTAATCCACACTTTGTGATTTCCACTCTGGCTGTGAACTCGGTGTGGCACCACAAAATACAGTGGTTTCTCAGCACAGACGCAGAGACTGAAGGAACTAACAGCAGGAACAAATGTATTCTGGTATTGCTGCTACGTATCTGGGTAGATATTTCTGTGGAGTGCCAGTCAAAATGTCCAGGTGAGGACACTTAAATGCCAAATGTGCCTTTCTCTACTCTGAGGTATAGGGGCTGCGATATATTTGTCGCATGTTGTAATATGTCAACAAAGATAGTGACATCTGAATCATTCCAAATTTATTCAAGCCCCAAGATAACAAACATAGAGCTGGGATGCTTTTTTGTTCCTCCTAATAAAGTTATTCATTAGAATTAGTCTGATTAGCTTGGTCTGCCACGATAATACTTACTAACATAGGACTCTTAATCCTTCTTGAGTATTTAGGGGAAATATTTGAAAATTTGTTTTAAAAGAAACTTCAAACAGTTGAGAAACATTTGTTTACATACAGTTAGTATCCTATTTATAAACCTGCCTACCACTATTTAAGGACATGACGCTAACTCCAGTTACTCCTTTTTTATAATCAGGCTTTACACTAATTAGATGACTTTATGGAGTCGTGTCTAACTTTACGGGCAGAGCCATTTAAGCCTTTAGCGGCACCCTGTTCAGACAGCACGGCAGGGGTTGGGGGGGCGGCAGCAGCTGAACTGGAGGTGAAGGGGAACAAGCGGTGGGAGGGAGGCGGGTGGGGGGGGGGGGGGGGGGGGGGGGAGCGGCCAGGGCTCTCTCTTACCTTCAGCAGCTTCATCAGCCCCTCCAGCTGAACCATCAGCTCGCGCCTGCTCTCCTGCAGCGCCGACATTCTCTGCTCCAGTTCATCTTTCCTTTGCCTGTCCGAGAGGAGAAGCCCATCCGGAATGAGGGTCTGAAGACAAAGGGACCCTCAAGGAAGGGTCTAAGCCTAGGCGAAATGGGCTTCAGACCCGATTCCGCTATTTACTGGGGTCTGCGATGCTGAGCAAGTTACTGAACTTCTGATACCTTATGTAGAAAGTGGTGATAATATCTGTTTTGCTCACTTTCCTGTTGTGAGAATAGTATGTAAAAATGCTTTGGAAAATGCACATGGCCATATACAGAACAAAGCATGATTAATATCATTGTTAAAGTGATTTTAAAAATTCCTCAGGGGGCGCCTGGGTGGCGCAGTCGGTTAAGCGTCCGACTTCAGCCAGGTCACGATCTCGCGGTCCGTGAGTTCGAGCCCCGCGTCGGGCTCTGGGCTGATGGCTCAGAGCCTGGAGCCTGTTTCCGATTCTGTGTCTCCCTCTCTCTCTGCCCCTCCCCTGTTCATGCTCTGTCTCTCTCTGTCCCAAAAATAAATAAACATTGAAAAAAAAATTAAAAAAAAAAAAAATTCCTCAGGAAGTCAATTTTAGAAAGATACATGAAACGAGTCCGAACTTAAATTGATAGTGGAGAAAACGTATGAAAATTGCTCAGGGGAAACAGGGTTCAGTAGCTGATGCTTCCAGCACCAGATGCCAGCCTCAAGAGTGAGACTGACACCAGGGTGGCTCTGTGTCTGAGAGAATTCACTTTTCTCCGAGGCCAGGTTTCGCGTCAGTTCTAGCTCAGTAAGTCCAAAACCGAACTTAAGACTTTAGTCTGCAAATGGTTCTCTTTCCTCATTTCTTCTAGCTGTCATGGCTGAAAACCTCCGTCCTCTTCGATACTTTCCTGCTTATACCCTATATTCAGTCATCCGACTTAGATGACTCTTTCCTAGAAATGTATGTGTCTTTCTCTCCCGTCTCTCACTTTATCCAAGCACGCCTTACCTCACACGTGCAATGGTCTCTTAGCCTGATTAATCCTGATTTCATCTGTTATGGTGAAGTGGAATAGAAATCAAGAGGCTTGAGGCCCACCATTTACTAAATATTGCAACCTTGGACAAGTCACTTAACCTGTAAGAGCCTCAATTTTCTCTTCACTAAAATAGGACTAATTACAAACAACTATGGCAATATCTGGAGGATCAAATAAGACCATGGGTATGAAAGATAAAATTAATGGCACCTATTTCCTTTTAGTTTTTCACTGTGGTTGTTAGAAAAGTTTTTAATTACATGTGTGGCCCACATTCTATTTCTATCAGAGTGCTGCTCCAGACCCCACCTGCATGCCTATCCTTAGTGCCTCACCTTCTATTCCCTTCCACGTCTGGATGTCCAGCTGATGGTTCACTTTTCCTTAAGCAGATCCTGTCATTTTACGAATCCCAGCAATTCCCCAACTTCTTCCAAATATTATTCACTCCTTAGTGTCCCACCCAAATGTCACTCTTCCCAGGAAGCTACTCCTAATTACTTCAACAGGTATCAGATCCTGCTTAATTAATCACTACAACAACTGGTGCTCCTGTGGCACCTAATTTATTTTACCTTGCATCGCTGTCATACCTACCATGATGCAAAATCCTTGAGGTCAGGGGATGAGTCTTACTCATCTTTGCATGTATTGAATGATTAAGAGAATATCACGTCCAGTATGTACTCAATTAACATCTAGTGAAGTTAACACCATCATTGTTGGAAATCCTCCAAGGATTTCCACTCACCTATCACTTAAGGCTCTCCAGAATCTGGTCTCAATTCCTCAACTAATTTTATCTCCTATCACTGGCACTCTAAAGATTAATTCAATGGACGCCTGAAACAAATTCTTAGTTCCAAGACTCTTTCCCTTCTCTGAAATGTATCATACTTCTTTGGGGGATCATGCTGAACCCCAACTCCACTTCTAATCAGAAATGTTTTGTCCCAGACTCCATCCAAATCAACCCTACCTTCCATGGTCTAGCTCAACTTCCGCCACCTCCATGGGTCTAATTGCTTCTAGCCTCTCTCTATATTTTCATACTTAGATTTCTTATAGCATAATGCCCATACTATTTATTAACACTATATAATATTAGTTAACTGACCAGAAAATTATTTTATGTTTATTTCCAAAACTAGATCACAAATTTGTAAGATGGAATCATTGTTTTCTAGTCTTCATACTCCCTAAATTTCCAGCACAGGTATAAATTCAATAAAGAAAAACCGACTCATTCGATTTTCTAGAGAGCCTTTCTTCTCTGAACTTCCAAGACTGGATGCGGTACTCTTTCCCTGTGCTATGCACAACCAAATAATTACACTATGTGGTGAAAATGCAGGAACTATATGTAGCTACAGCAACAACATGGAAGGACCCATGTTGTCCTTCTACTACCCTAAAGCGTAGTACTGAAGGGGGGAAAGGTTCCACTCTATGCATATAACAACATTTCTATAAAGCGCAAAAAACAAAAAGCAAAACTAAACACTTTATTATGTGGGAATACACATATATTTGATGATAGATACTGTTTAAAAAGCAAGACAATGGGGCGCCTGGGTGGCGCAGTCGGTTAAGCGTCCGAC